GCGCAAGCATAAGGTGAATCTTTCAAAATGCCAGGAGTTGTTAACTTGCAATTTTTAAGAGCATTTTCCATTGTCATTGAAGCAATACCATCATTATGAGCTCTTAAAAATTCCAGAATGACAAGAAAATTACCTGGATTAAGAGAATCCTTCGATTCATCATGACCTCGGAAAGGAACCGTATTGGGCAATGATCGAGGGGATGAGTTTCCAAACTTTTCTTCTCTGTTGTGGATTATTTGGCACGAAAGGAACCATATTAAACACGGACTTCAAGGCAAAACGTGGAACAAGCTTGCACATTAGGGTGAAGTGGCAAGAAGAGGCTTCAAAATGGCGTTCGGGACGTCTCATGTTCGACCGTGCTTTGCTTACACCATCAATAGATAGGTGGGTTGGCCCTGAGAGTTGTCAAAATGGACTCACGTTATTTGTTGATGCCGCAGTCCGAGATTCAGAGATTGGGTTGGGAGGATGGATTGGTGACTCGGAAGGTATTTGTTGGGTGGCTTTTGAATCTCACATTTCGGGCTCTTTTTCATCTTTTGCAGCAGAAGCTCTTGCCCTCAGGTTTGGACTTCGCTTTGCTTTTGATTTGGGAGTTTCAATTCAATTTGCTAAGACGGATGCTTTAGCGATTATTTATGGCTTGTCTGAATATTCGCCTACCGACTCGTTGCATCAAGTTTTTGTGGATATTTTGTCTCTTTTGTTAAACCTCAATTGTGGGTCTTGTAGCCATATTGCTAGGAACCAGAATTTTGTTGCCCATTATTTTGCTAATCGGGCTTTGTCGAAGTCAGGAACCTACTTNATGATTAGTGGGTCGATTTCTCATACTTTTGAAATAAAAATAAATAATTACATTGAAAAATATTACATCTTTATCTATTTTATAATTTAAAATATGACATTTTAGTATAAAATATATACTTTTGTTAAAAAGATATTGTTAGACAGTCTCGGCATCCAAATACCCATCGAGAGCACATGGTGTCGTCAAAATTTGATTTACCCAAGCCCAACGCTTCTCATTTTTCATACGTCTATAAATTTGTGTAACCCGTAAAAACAAAGTACAGTAAAACCTCGTTAAATTATTAGTCGATAAATTAATAACCTCGCTAAAACTAATAATTTGTCCGGTCCCAAGTTGGGACCAGTAATCAATAAAATTATAAGATATTAATTTTTTTGAGATCCCAATGTATATATATTGGTCCCGAGAAAACTATAAATTAATAATTATTAAAAATAATCCATATATATATATATATATATATATGATGCACTTGAAGATTCTTAAGACAACTTAGTAAAATAAGAATTTACTGTAACTTGTTTTTTCTTGAACTTCAAATCTATGTTGATATCATCTTTAAATCTCCTTACTGCACCCAATAGTTGTGGCGTTGTCTTCTCGTACTGCAACAAAAAGTTATGAAGAGTTGTTGATGCTTGCAATGCTTCTTTTAGAGTGACCGGTTGCAAAGCTATTGAATCCTCTGCTTTATCATCTTCCGGATTATGAATGACATCGGCCACTATCTCTTATAGACTCTGAACTTTGTGACATTGATTATTTTCACTTAGAAAGTCGAGCAACTGATTCACATCCATTTTGTGGTGATATTGCATACTGGTGATCAAATTCTCAAGCTCATGAATGTCTTCTCCATGAGTTGCATCATTTGCACTTGCTTTGATTTTCCGAGTGAATTTTGCAGTGTCGAAAGCAATTTGCTATTGCTTCTTGATAAACATTTTCGGTCCAAGCTGACATTGTCATATTGATAACATCTAAAACATTGATATTTGCGGTAATACATTTTGAAGGCTCTTATTATGCCAGCATCACATAGTTGAATTTTTGAGGTCATATTTGGGGTAGGAAAAATAACTTGATATAATACGTTAAAACTGTGCATATATGTTAAAATCTCTTTAAATTAGTAAATTATTAATTTATCAATATAATAATATAATATTTTTATAAATTAATAAAATCTTCTAGTCCAAACATTATTAATATATATAGAGGTTTTACTGTAATTCGCTTATTAAAAAGAAAACAACAAGCAAAAGCAGAGGAAGGCAAAGAAAGAAAAAATGTGCTACGAAGTCAAGTGTGGAAATTGCAGCAAGAAAAGCTGGGAAGGCTGCGGCCGCCACGTGGCGGCGGTGCACAAAGGAATTCCCGACGGTCAACACTGCCAGTGCAAGCCATGGCCCGGCGTCGATTCCGCCGCCGATTCTTCTAAGGCCTCGTCCAACTCCCACTGTATTATCCTCTGATTTAATAATTACCCGCTTTCTATATTTTTATTTTGCTTTTATTTTTTCTTGGATCCTTTCGTATTCTAAAATAAACATCTTTGGAACTGTTTTAATTTGTTGTTGTCTGTATAGATTATGTTGAATCGCACGACCTCCTCAATTAGATGGAGCTAATTATATGCGATCTGAATAACGAATCTAGGGATTACCAGGTTGTGGTTTGTGGGGTGGATGATGATGAAATTCCAATTAATTATTTAATCATATATTTTGTTTCTTGTTCATGAAATGGATAATTATCACTCGGTCTAGGACAAGCCCTTGGCTTCAGGGCAGACCGGCAGAGCCAAACAAATTTTTCTTTGGTTAAATAGTTTTCACGGTTAATATTTTATTCAAGACAATATTAATAATCCATGTTATTTATATTACTTATGGATATATAATATATCAACTACTTTGTCTTTTGATTTTTCATACAGTAAAAGCGATAACAAATGATCTCGGTAATTTTAAAATGAAAAAAGAATATGAAATCAACTCAGGGGGGTGTATTCAATTAGAACTTTTAGAGACTTTTTAAGACTTTTGAAATTTAAGGGTATTTAATTGAAACTTTTTGAGACTCTCAGAAAGTTTACATGTATTCAATTAAAACTTTGCAAGAGTCTCTAAAAGTGGTCCGTTATTCAAGTTAGGAAGATTTTAAGAGACTTTTAAAAGTAAATGATTCTTGGAGACTTTTTAACCAAAAGTATAAAGAAAATATACATGTGAAAATCTCACCAAATTTGTGAGATTTATGAAGACTCCCCTCTCTCCGTCTCTTCTAACAGATATTCTTATAAGACCTTACGTTGTCTTTCACGAAATTAATTTTGAAGCTTTGTTATGCTATCATAACATCCAGACCTTTTAGTTGTTGGTAGCTTATGCAGATATATTCCTAGTTACCATAGCTCCACTTGACCTCCTTTTGAGTTAAAATAAAAGTCCATGCTTCAATTCAAGGATTTTGTGTTCATCTAGAGAAAAGAAGGTGCACGCTTAAGAGAGAAAATTATAATGCGGGCCTAAAATCCTCAAACGATTTGAAAACAATGCTGCAGACGTTTCCCATGGTAGAAATAATTTGTTTTTTCTCCTTATTTCCAATATCATTGCTACTGTTATATTTAAATGCTTGAATAACAGAAGAAACTACATACAAAGGGGAAATTATCTCCTGACTAATAACTATGCTAGTCTGTAGTCAACACATGGATGTGGGGTGAAAAGCATGAACAAAAGTGCATGATATTGTTTAATTTTATTTTTGTTCTTTTTGATTATTCTATTTTTCTTAAAATGTTAATAAGATAATTATTGCACTCTTTTGGTATGATTGTTAAATATATTTCTTTTTTTTTTTATCGANATATTTCTTTTTTTTTTTTTTATCGAGTTCGTTTGTTATAATATTTTTTACTCTTGTCTTCATTCTGGCTCAATAGGTAGTGTTTAATATCATAACTCATTTTAATATAATATTATAATTTTTTAAATACTAATTTGACTTTATTGATATTAGTTATTATCCACATAATTTTTTATGAACATTTCGTACAAATTTAATTATTATATGAAGAATTATATAAATTATAAAAGTCTTATAAAGTCCAAAAAAGTTCACATTGAAAGTCTTGAAAAGTCTCAATAACAATCTCACAAAATCCACAGAAGTCATTAAAAGTTGCATAAAGTCCACAAAAGTCATCCATTTTAAAAAGTCTTAAAAAGTCTTGAAGAGTTCTAATTGAATACAACCCCCTAAGTTTGTGGAATGTATAGGAGGGGTGTTGTTATATTTCATAAGTTTATGTAAAAAAATTACTGACCTCCATATAAAAAACCTATCAGAAAATATAATAATTAGTATTTTAATTTTACAAAACCAACAATCGCATTTTTATGTTATATATGTTCTCATTGATTTCAATTGTGTTATTCATGCCATTTACATTGAATGTTTGAACAATTTGTTTTCATACTTTGATTTCTTTGTACATGGGTCTATCTAAAAGTATTATTCAATTCGAGTATCTTAGAGCATCTACAATACTTTGGGTCTATTCAAAAAAGAGGAATTTACACCCTATACTATTATATAAATATTTTATATTACATATTTTCACCCAATTAATATTTATTTGCAAGGATACAAAATCACCCCAATATATTTGCACATATACAAGCATATTCAGTTAAGGAATTTACGTTAAGGAATTTATGAGCAAATTAAGTGTTATTATATCATTAATTATGAACAACATATATCCTTACCAAAATCGCACCCCACATTCTCTCATCACATAAAATCTTCCTTATCTCTTATCTAAGTAATTACTTTGGCACACGGTTTCTTCCTTCAAAGTCATCGTTCTCCATGGATGATTTCTTCTTCTCTCCACAGCAGCGTACCGAAATTTTATTCCTTCAACCTCCGCCATCGTTTTTTTTTTCTTTCATCGTTTCCCTTGCCAGCGCCTTCCCTCGAGCAGCCCTCCATCATCACAGCAGCCCG